ATAATGAGACATATGGGGAATAGTAAGGACTAATTGAGTAAGGAAGTAAAGATGATTGGATTTGCATTTCTGAAAAGTAAGTCAAGAAACAGAAATGGCAGTAGAAAATTTTAAACTCCCTTGTTGAGTTTGTACACGTAGGACTATTCTCTTTTTATCTTTTGAAGACAAGACTTGTAAGCACAAGAACTGATACAATTGATATTGCCATCGCATTCTATCTCACATGCTTCCCCCCAACCCCAAGTCACAAATATAGCTCTGAAATGACATAAGATCATGCTCAAACTTGTCAAAGATATAGTACATAGTCTCAGCTTCAGGTAGTGGCAGAGAAGTTTGTATCAGAATAACCTTCCTTTCAATAGTAATTAAAAATTATTAACAAAATATAGGCAACAACAAAATTGCTTGTTGTCAGTATGGAGCAACTAAGAGCAGGATGACACTAAAGATGATTCAGCCTTTGAGAGAAGGAAACCACACTGTTTGAGAACTACATTGAAGAAAGCACATGGCTTTGATCTTGAGGAACCTCCCTACTCCATGTGGCAAGTGACTAATAGAACTCAAACAGAAAACAACAGTTTTATTTGGCATGAGGAATCATAGGACTGACTTGATACTGTCAGAGTGACTAAAAAATGATAAGAGTACCCCAGAAAGAAGATCCAAAGAAAGGGGAGCCCCCAAATCAACAAATAAACACCTCTTTAATCCTTATCRCGCCTTGAACAATGTATGTGCAGGAAGAGACTCTATAAAACCAAGGAATAAAAGCTAGAAAGCTGAGAGAATGGAGAAGAAAATCCAGCAACTTCTTATTTATAGCAAATATATAGAGTTTGAAATTTTAGGTCCCCACCCCACACTTGTCCYCAAGTAAGAGAGACTTGGCTTTCACCTTGTATTTTCTATTGAAACTCAAGAAGGACAAAACCTTCATTTTATCTGATAGTAATTTATCTGCCTGCTAGAACAAAATTCAACAATGTGTGGAGGAAGATAATAGAATCTAAATAGTCTACAATATATTATTCACAGTTTACAATATGCCATCAGCAACTACTAGACATACAAAGAAACAAGAAAATGTGACCACAGACAGTGAAAAAATGAGTCAATATAAACAGACCCATAGCTGGCCTGGATATTAGAAATGACAGACATGTACTTTAGAATCACCATGTGAAATCTATTAGAAAATGTGCATGAAAAGATAGATGCAATTGATAAGAAGATGGGAAATTTCAGAAGTGATACAAACATGGTAAGAAAAAAAATCAAATGGAAATTTCAAGAACTGAAAAATAATCTGAAGTTAAGAATAAAAATTTGGTAGAATTAATAGCTGATTTAACACAGCTCAGAAATAAACACACAAGTAAAGAAAATTAGTAAAAGACATGAACAAGGGCTGGAGTTGTAGCTCATCGGTAGAGTGCTTGCCTCGCATATGTGAGGCACTGGGTTCAATCTCAGCACCACATATTAATAAGTAAATAAAATAAAAATCCATCAACAACTAAAAAATATTTTTTAAAAAACCATGAACAGACCCTTTTAAAAAGAAAGGGATGAATGACTAATAAGCATTTGTCAAGATATTTAACATCATTAGTCATCAAAGAAATGTAAAATGAATGCTCTTTATGGCCATCAGAATAGCTAAAACTAAAAAAAAAAATAACAGCATCAAAGGAATGCTAAAATATGAACTATACATTGCTGTGGTATGTATAACTGTCTAATCACTTTGGAAAACCATATGTCAGTTCTTTATAAAGGAAAATACATAACAGTACCTAAACAGAAGTTTCATATTTGTCCAGGGAAATGAAACATATAGCTACAAATGATTTTTACAGTATGCAGATGTATTCATAATAACTAAAACCTATAAATAATTCTATGTACATTCACAGATAAAGAAATTCTGGTGATCAATAGTGGAATATTACTCAGCAATAAAAAAGTCACAAAGTTCTAATATTTTTAACACATATGGATTTCAAAAATATGTTGAGTGAAAGACACCAGAACCTCAATCTGAAGTTTGAAGTTGCATAACTACTAAAATGTAGTTGTGGTCATCAAAACCAAACAAAGGCCTCCCTGTGATTGGTGATATGGGAATTTGGATGGAAAGGGCACAGGATTTTCTTTGGAGCTGTTGGAAACATTTTGTATCTTTACTGTCATCATGATTAGTTGGTTGTTGCTAAAATACATAAGAACTTCACACTTAAGATCTGTGCCTCTGATTGCATATATGTTATAAATAATAAAAAAGCATTTTTWATGTAATGCTTCAATATTGTCACACCCAGGGATTCGGGTAAGGCTGCCTGGATTCAAGACTGGATCAGGGAATTATAATGGTTAAAGGATGGTTGCTGCATCAGACAAATCTGGGGTTTTCAATCACATTGCCAATTCCTTGTGAATGTAAGCAAGTTACTAACCTCTTCCTAAGTTCCCATAAAATGGAGATGATAAAATTAGAATCTGCCTTATAAGGTTGTCTTTGGTATTGTGCCTGGCACATAGACACATTCAATACATTTAAGCTGTAATCATTATTATTAAATAGCTCTTCAGCTAGACTTTCATTACTCTAATACAGTCAGGAATACTGGTATGACCATGAAGATTTTAAGAATTAGATATCTGCAAACTGCATTAGGCTGCAATCTAAATAGGGCAGACAATATTTGACAGCATATGATTAAGTATACTGGTGAATCCTATTTTAGTTATCCATTTCAAACTAAGTTAATAATTATCTCTTTGCCAAGAAAAACTGTTCACTTTAAAATTCTTTTCTTGAAGCTCTTGTTCTTAAAAAAAATTCAAACGTAGAGCAATTAGAACATAATTTTTTTCCTACCTAATAGCTTCGCCCTTTGTTTCCCATCTCATAATCACAAAATCAAGTGTGTAAAACTCCTCACTACATACATAAGTACATGTACATGTGTACAGGTGTGTTCATATAACTTTAAATAAAATTGTGGCCGTACTATACATACTTTTCTGAATCTAGAATTTTTACTTAGAAATCTTTTCACATTTAGGATTCTGTTTGTTCAAAAAGTTGATCTATTTTTAAAAATTGATGCATCATAGTCTATGGCATGGATGAACTTTTCTTTTTTTAACAAACTCCCTATTGATGAACATCTGAGTAGTTTCAAGTTTTCACAATTATAGAGATGCATACCTTTTGCACTTGTGCTAATAATGTCATATATTAAATTTAGAAAATTATAATTGCTAGGTGAAAGAGTTTGAGCAAAAATTTTTGACCTTTTCTTGTACGAGAAAAACTATTTTGAGTGTATGTGTGCAAGAATAGTGAAAGAATGAGTATGAGAACGTTGAAGCGTTCTCTGAGTAGTAAATGATGATTTTTGTATTTTTTGCTTGTTCTATTTCTCATTTTTTAAAAAGGAAGAGTTGCTTTAAAATTTTAACAAAATTTCACATTAGGGTATTTATGATAGCTACAGTCAATTCAGTGCATAATACTGTATAATACAGTCAGTTCAGTGCTGAATACCTCCCATGCAGAACATTCTTCAAATTCCATGCAAAACTACATGAGGTACTACCTTTATTGACACTGAGGAAACTGGAGCTTGGAGCACACATGGCTGGTATAGATTCTGGATTTCAACCTAAGTTCTGTGAAACACTGCAGTCCAGAGTAATCTTGAGTGAATTCATTTTGATGAGAAGGTTTTTGCCTTCTTTCTCAACCTTAACAGATATGTAAGTAGTGATATAGACACTCATTGAGCTAAAAATGTTGCTTCCATGGTTGTCAGAAGCCAGCATGGACATTAGATAAGTTGTACTTTTCCGTGAAAGTATCTTCAATATCCAGCTTCCTCTAGAAATAAATAAAATTAAGAGCAATGATAACTTCATGGTGTTACAGACTGTGGAGAGAGGCGAGTTCTTGAGACCTCCGAAAATCTAGTCTGCTTTTGCATTCCAGATTATTATTCTTCCCTCTTTCTCTTTCCCTTGGTTTGCAATCTCATATTTCCTTTCTGTCCACAGGGCCTATTTAGMAATGACTGAATGCCGAAATTCTCAATTTCCTAGTTTATGTACCTATGGATTTTTAGCCCTCCACCTGTGCACTTACCCCAATTCAGTCACAGAAGTTGCTAATTTCGAGTGAGATCAGATTTGTATTTTCAAAAGTTGTTCTCACTATAAAGGATTCATGCAAAGGGGCCCAAATGAGAAGCCTGCAAACTGATTATACCGGAGGCTAGTCAAGAGTAGACTGCTGCTTAATTAGCAGAGTAACAAGAGTTGCAGCCATTCTGCTTCACTTCGTGCCATAGGAGCTAGGAGTGGGTCTTCTTTGTGTTTATTAAGAGGTAATCTAGCCCTGCATCTACCAACAAGTCAGGTACCCTGGAGAAATGCAATCCTGTTGGCATCCTGCTTTTGTGATGAGAAGTTGAGCAGAGGTTTCATTTTTTTTTTTTTTTTTTTTTTTTTGGATAGCTTTGATTTTTACCCTCTTATTCTTAAGGAGAGTACAAGTGTTTCAGTCTGGCTTCCTTTTTTCTCGACTTTTAAAACTTGTGATATCTTGGAGTCAATACTTAAGAGCTCAGAAGAGACAGTTGTTAGCATTTTTWCCCAACCATGTTTTCAGTAACATTGAGTTGATGACATGAAATTAGATGTGGCGGGCATATTTGTAAGAGTGAAATTGGAAAATACAACATATCAAAAGAACTTAACATTTACCAGCACACTGCTTCTATCACTCCTCTAGTTCTGCTCACCATATAAACCAAATCCACACAGAGCAAGAGAGAGAACATAGTGTTTTAATGTACCATGAGTTTTCTTCCATAGGGCTGTGGGTCTCTAAGAGGAGAAAAAATGAGTTCCCTCTCTCTTCCTATCTCATGTTTTACATTTGTTTCCCAAAGATCAAATATAGGCTAACTTTCTTCTTTCTCCTCTAGTGGATGGCTGCATTCATAGAGCRGCTGGCCCCTGTTTGCTTGCTGAATGTCGTAACCTGAATGGCTGTGAGACTGGACATGCAAAAATCACATGTGGCTATGATCTGCCTGCAAAATGTAAGTCCAGCTTTTTTGAATACTTTTTAAAACCAGATGAGAAGTCTTACCTTGTCTTATTCCCCAAGTGCATAATTGGGGAAAGAAATGATAGTAGTGGTATTTAATTTAATGTGCTTGTAGTCAGAGTTTTTGTGTGCCTGTAATTATGGTATTTAACTGCGGGTGATTCTTTTGGTGGTGGTTGTTGTTGTTGTTGTTCGGGTCTTTAACAGAATGTCTCTGAAATAGGGAAATAAAATATGAGCAAAATATACATTATAGTATTTAAGTGCCACAAGTGACAGCTTCTGGAAATGATGCCAATTTCTTATTCCTTGTTCAGGCTTCTTGATTGTGAATGTGTTTAGAGCAAAGGAGATCAAAGTGATGCATTGTGTTTTCAGCTGCCATGTAAAGGCTGATTGGCAATTACAGCCAAGGCATCTGTCACACTTTGCTTTCAGGAAAAGCCAGTGGAATGTGGTTGTCAGTGTGAGAATATATTTGCTCCTTGAAWGTGGAATGGTCAAAATTTACATTATATTTGAATTGAGAAAAGTACTGCATTTAATTGACCCTGTTGCTCAGCCAACTCGGGTGGGGTGGTGTAGAATAAAAATACTAAGAGAGAAAATGGTTAAAGGCACGGCTTTTTAAATCACATAATCTTCAGGGCCAAGGCAGGGAGTTTCATTGCACTGTTAGGGTGTGCATTGACCCGGAAACTGAGACACCAGTTTATTGATTATCCCRTTCACCTGCTTCTTATGATATTTCCCAGATCTGTGACTACATTTACGAAAACGAGAAGCTGGTTGTGTGTGTATGTTTTTAGCAGTGGAGAAAATATGATTAAAAATTATARCACAACTTATAGGATAATATGTGGACTCTGTATAGACAGATTGTGTAAGAATGAGTTTCCCATGGATATGTGTGAATGGAGAGATAGTGTGTGTAGTGTAATTCTAAAGGTTACTTTAAAAGTATGTTTAAACTTGAGGATTTATAYTAAAGAATAATGTATTAAAATTGCATTTTTTGTAAATATTATAAATACTATGTTTTATTTTGCTCACTATGGATTGCTATAAAAATATATCAACTGAATATTGTGTAATTTTTTTCTCTTACAACTTATCATTTTTAGTGTTCTTAATCTTGTGTTGAAAGAGTCAAATCATGTGACAAATGGCCCCTCACAGTTACAGAATATATATTTATATCAAATGAAACCCTGTTTACGGAGGTGATCAGAGTGTTCCAGTAGTTCTCCCTCTGAGTCAGWTCATGATCTGAGTATTAAGGTGATTTTCCCTTCCAGGATTATATAGTCTCATGTTTACAAATGCTCTTTTTCCTTCCTAATGCTACCTTTGTGATATAGCTGAACTATAGTATTCTGAGAACAGGCAGATTGTTGACTATTTTCAGACTCATGTCTGCCCTTAAACCAAGCACTAAGCTGGGTCTCCAATTGATTCAATTCTTTCTTAGGTATTAAAATACAAGTCAGAAATCTCCAACTCTGAATTTTCTATAGTCGGATGATAGCTCTAGCTTATGGGTTGCAAATGTGATAATTTTTAGTGGGCTTGCTGCTATTTGCTATCTCTGAATAAGTTATTCTGCTTCCTTTGAATGTCGATCATCTTATTTCAGAGTTATTAAAGACTTACACAATACCAGGCACTGAGGTATGAAGATCAATAACCTAATACCTGTTTATACTATAATCATATCTTGTAGCTAAGAGTCCTATCTTTGAGCTAAGGTGTTTCTTTCATGGGCATCCTGGGACAAATGTGTATTTGTTGGATGCAGACTCTAAATGTGGGTAGTCCCAGGACTTGGTATAAAATTCACATGAGCTTAGATACTGAGAGCCTGRTATATTCTCAAATCACTACATGAAGTTCACAAGGCATGTTTTGTTAAAAAAAAATCCAACAGAATAGAAGCTAATAGACTAGCATGGCAGTGCCACCTCATAAAAATCAACAAACAGAGTCTTTATGACAACATATTGGTATTTCTGTATATTTAAAAATATTAATGATATAGGATAATGGAAAGAATATGAAAATGATTAATAATACCTTACACTCATATGTCACTTTAAAATATTTCCCAGTACTTTCACAAGCCCTTATATTTTAAATTATGTTTTATAAACACTGTGTGTTCATTTTCCTGTTTCCTATTCCTGAGAGATGTTTTTCTTGCTCATMAATTTGGTTCATCCATTTCAGAGTCATTAACAATCCACAGATGTGCTTTTGTAGTGAGAGAATGAAAAGGAAGCTCATTACATACTGTTTGGGTCATTTTTCCCCTCCATGTTTAATAATTCTACGACAGTTTGACAGTGGAGACTAGTTCCTATCTGTCCTCTGAGACGATGGGTTTGCCATTACAGGGATACTAAAGTCAGTCATCCAGCTACAAATGACGATATCTTCATGTGTCAGCAATTTGTTTGGAAAATGCTATTATCTGGGGTACAGGCAAACTTGGGCATTTTGGACTGGTCTTTGCTTTTTTTTAATGCTTGCTAAATTAGTTTATTCACAAATGATTGTATTTGAATTCATTATATGTGTAGCCTGTGTTCTGAGACTCATCATGATTGATGGAATGATAAGCCCCACGTACTCAGTTCCTTCTTCAATGCCTGGATATTTTAAGTGATTTCTTTCAATGCCAAAATATCCAAACATTTTTCCCAAAAGGAATCTTGAGCATCAAGAATTTTGGGTAATGTTTTATTGAAAACTATTGCTAAACTAACTTAGGAAGTGGACGAAAGACTATTTATATAACTAATTCTTGGGATCTACAAGATTAGACAATTTTTAGTAAAATTTCCATTTCTATAGTTGTTTAGAAGCTTGTACACATGTGGGATATTTCTTTCTATTAATGCTATCACCATTCTGTCAGAATAATGATCAGCTTCATGCCAGCAAGTTTTCTCCCTCTTGGTCATAGTGCTAGTGTCAATGTCTAGCATAGTGTCTCCTAAACTTGTGCCGAAGAATCAAATGAAAGAACTGTTTTAGAATCTTTTTACTGGAAAAATGGATTTTTTAAAGCTGCTTATTTCAAATACTTTCCATCCTGCAGAATATGCTGCACAGTTCTGGTAGGGTTAACATACCTAAATCCAGAGTCCTGAGACTTGTCTGCAAAGCTCAACTTGATGTGACCTTTTCTTTTCTGACATCATCCCCTTCTGTGCTTGCCTTGCTCACCAGGCTTCTCTGCAGATCCTAGATGTCTTGACACTGGTGTTCCCTCTGCTTGGAATGCTGTTCTTCAAGATACCTACATGGCTTGCTCCATTTACTCCTCAAATCCTTGTTTAAATGTAACCTCAGGTGTCACTTTAACCTATTCATAATTATTTCTCTGCCTTATTTTTTAATTCCTTATTCGTAGCATGTAACCTTCAACTATATTATTATTTCATTATCTATCTCTTTCTACCATAATAAATGCGGAGACTTTAAGGGTTCATCTTTTCCCCTTGTTTCTATACCCATATAGTTTATTAAAATATAACAGAGGCTTCAAAGATATATGTTGAATGAAGAAATGATAAGTAACTAAAACCTTTCAAAATCCTCCATTGTATTTTTCCTTAAACATAGACTTATTAGCCTGATTATCTGTGGGCTTCCATGATTTACTGTCATATTTGAACTACTTTGTATGATATGAATTGCTCACAGTGGTATCTCTGTKCGTGGTATCTGTATTGGAGGCTATCTTTGATCCTTTTCACCTATCTCCCAGACTTAGCTCAGATATCACTGCTGCTGTGAAACAAGTCTTCTCTTATCACTTTAGCTAAAAGTGACTTCCTTTTTTCTTCAAACTCCAGAATACTGCATGCTTACATGCTGAGAATATTCTTCACCTGCTACTTTTTATGTACAAACTTTCTGCCTTTCTAATAGATTCCCTTGTATATGACTGGTGCTAGAGAATTAAATATCAAATTAATTGTTAAAAGTGGCAAACTGGCTGATAATTGGTAAGTAGATTCTAAAAGAAAAGTTATATTACTATTCCTAAGAAATAATGAAATTGGTGTCAACTATCCATCTACAACCCTTTTTAGTCATATTTTGACATATATCCAGTTCCAGAGTCTCCTGTGAAATTTACTCTTAACAGAGCTTCTCCCAAGGGGAAAAAAAATATTATACCTACTGTATTGGATRATTTTCAGCATAGCTCACATGTCTATTCCATTTCATTGGAATGCTCCACTTTCAGGCTTTAGAGCTGAATAATCATCACAGGCAAGTGGGAAAWTATTAAATCTGTGTATATAAAATGGTAGAATCTATTTCTTTTATTCCATTTAATCTTGCAAAAGCATCCAAGAGTAATATTAGCATCTAACTCAGTTTTTTTTATTAGTCATTTGAAGGGAAACTCTAGGATGAGAGACTATWGCATAACGTTTGAATGAGTAGTATGAATCAGATCCCTTATTCTATTCCCAGGTGCAATAATAATCAGATGATAGTAGTTTAAAAGGTACTATTGATAATAATTAGTACTTCTCTTGTGCCCTTCATCAAGAAATCATGGCACTTTTAAACACTAGCTCATCAGTCCTTTTGAAATTCCTATGAGGAAGTGACATGATAAGTAATGATATTTTCTTCTGACGCAAGGAGAAAAGAAATTCAGAGAGGCTAAACCTGTTGTTCTCAATAACAAACTAAATCCACATTAGAGGCATGGAAGTGACCAGGGATCCTTGAAATAGAAAGACAGTGATAGTATTGGCTAGGCCTGCTACCTATTTTTCTAAATAAAGTTTAATTAGGACGCATGCTCCTTTGCTTACTATTGTCTATGATTGCATTCTCTTTTTTAAAAAAATGTATTTTCTTTGTTTTAAATATATATTTTTAGTTGTAGATAGACACAATTTTATCTTATTTATTTTTATATGGTGCTGAGGATTGAACCCAGTGCCTCAGAGGCAAGCGCTCTAC